GGGCCGGAGCTTCCCTCCTACAACCCTGATTCTTGTGGTTCTAGATTTAAATTTTCCTTTGGAATCACAATGCTTTCTGTTGCCACTGATTCCAGATTTCCTTTCCCCTCTCTTCACACGAGGAACAAAAATGGAATTTCACCTGAGGAAATATCTTTTTAATATCCAGAAGTCAGGAAATTGAAATATCCTGATATCTGTTCAAGAAAAGGAACCTGTCCTTAAAAATTTTACATAAAGGGAGTTCCCAGTATAGATGCGGCACTAAGAAATTTCTTAAGCCACTTGAAAAAAAAGCACTCCCAATCACAAAAATGCAATTCCACAGAAAGGGAAAGTGACTAAACTAATAAGAAAATCAAAATTTAGTAAGGACATTTCAAAAAACGGAAGGTGTTTTGTGAATACAGCTATAAAAATCTGAAATAATATACCATCAATCCAAATCTCTTGAACAATACCCCAAGATTGCAAAATCCCAGATTGGTGTAACATCTGGAAACTCAGTCAGTCCAACTTACTATATTAACAACAACAACAAAAAAAAGTTTCAGGACTATCTCAATAGAGTAAGATAAAATATAATATTTCATAGTTATTCATGAATTTTAAAAAAAAATTTGTAATGAAGGACTAGGAAATAACTTCCCTGATTTGAAAAATGGTATTTGCATAAAATCTGCAGCTTCTGTATCATATTTAGTGCTAAAATACAAGAAAATTACTCCCTGAGTTAGAAACAAGTATGGTTATTATCACAACATTCATTCAACTTTGTACCACAGGTCTTAGCTCACTATCTAATAATTAGCTCACAAATTAATAATTAATTAATTAAAGAAAAGGAGACCAGAAAAGAGAATACAGACTTGCCATTATTAACAAATCCCAAATCATGAAAAAGTGCTCTTTTTTCATGAGTAAGTACATCAACCAACAGAAAGAGGAGTAATTCTACAGATAGGTTCAATTATATAGAGAAACCAGACTTATACTACTAAAATAATTACTGTATAAGACAAGATAAAAAGATTAACTTAACAATAAATACTGCTAGATTCGATAGCCATATAAAGAAGTAAATCTGGACTTAATATCTTGCACCAAGATTGACAATAAACAGTATTAGATTAATTGGA